AGTGGTTAATGCTTTGGACTTGCTGTACAAAGTCCAACTGCTTTGCAACTATGTTTACCTTGCTGAATAAAAGTGCAGATCAGCCTGACTGGACTGTTCCTGGTTGTCCCAGTCTCATGCACTGTTTACCGCTGCTGATACCTGTTTCCATGATAGTCTGTCTCTCTTACAACTTGGTGCTCAGAAAAAAACAGCTCTTTGTTAACACAGAGACCTATTGTTGAACCAAATGGAGGTGAATATTAAAAAGCTTATATCGGCAAATGCAAGCAAGCAGCAGTGCAATGTTGTCCAACAATGGACTGCAAGAGGTGAACCATTTAACCTCCCAACAGATTTTTTATTTTTTTTTGGAAAAATATATACTTTATTTTTATATAACTGTATAAAAATCAAGATACTTATTCGGGGTACATTCCACCTGGTACTGCGATGCAGCGCATAAATACACTACATAACAATACAGTCTCAATCATACAATAAACACATTCACTCAGCGGTATGATGCCTAACATAATGTGTGGCGCAAAAGTTCCCCGAACCATCATGTCATGCATGACGCAGCTTACACAAAACCGTTTTGTGGCCCCCTAAGGTTCCACCAGTGTACCTAGTGGCGCAATGTCAGACTCCTGTTAGACTCCTGTCCCACATGTCCTACATGGCATAAACCATAGCATGCAAAAAACATTACCAAATGAACAAAAACAATTCAATAAGCAATGGGTGTGATGGGTGTGATGAGGGGTAGGAAAAAGAGTTCACAGGCTCCAAGCTTTATTGGAAGGACAAAGACACGCAAGGGAGAGTGGGGGAAGGGGAAATCTTCAGACGTCCCTTTCCTCGAAGTGCATCAAGTTATAGTCTCTGAGCAGACTTTGGACAAGTCTGAGACAGTCCTCAATGGACATCCTCTCCTGCTGATGATGGATGAGGCACTTCCTGGCGCACCATAAAGCTTACTTGAAGCAACACAGCACCCGTCAGATGTCAATGTACTCCTGAGCAAATGTTCCACAGAAAAGTCTGTTCAGCAAACCAAAGTGAGTGATGGCTGCCTGTGGCACAAAGTCTTTGAGTTCTGGTTCCAGGCCATCAACAGGTCCTGAGCAAAGGAGCACGCCCAGAAAACGTGCAGAGCAGTTTCCTCCTGGATGATGCAAAAAGAGTGGTGCCCTATCTGCTCAACCCCCCCTTGGATTGCCCTCCATGCCAGGTCCTTGTGCCTGTTGGTGAGTCTCCCCTTCCAAACAGATGCAACAGCTGACTGAAGCCCAGCAGTACTCCTTAGAAGGACAAGTGAACCTTATACAACAGCAGGTACAGGCCCTATGAGAGAGACAGATAAGGGGACAGGGGCCACTGTCTACACCTTGACAGCTGGTGCAAAGCACTAATGTTACCTTAATTCCTGGGACTATGATATAAAACAAATAAACCCATAAAAAATATCAACCGCTTTTTTTCTAGATAGGCATTCCTTTAATAAAAAGTAGTAACTGAGCAGTTAGTTAAACAATGTACAATCCTATCAACTTGTTATTTCCATAAAACCTCATGACAGTTTTAAGACCATCCCATTAAATGGCACATGTTCACCAAACACTATCTCCTTTTTCATATTAGCTGCTCATTATACACATGTGCCACTTATTTGCAGTCTTCTGGCCTTCTACTGTTGGACGTTATAAGCTTTAAATGTTCAGCTCCCATTTAGAAATGTACGTTTAACTTTACAACATTTCGAGTATCTCATATATTATCCCATTTACAAACATCTTGACCTAACATACTAAAGTAATAATGGAAACAAAAGTAATAGCTAACTAAATTTAGTTTTAAAACCAAGAAGCTTTTTCTGTAGTTGGTTTATTTCTTACTACTTAGAAGTATAATCCTAGGTCATTATTAGTTAATGGAGACAGCGATTATTACATTTAAGCACTTATCTTTACTTAACAAAAACCTTTATTCCTAGTATACATTGATCTGTTTGCTGAGAAACCACATTTTCTATTATTAGAAAATGACTTAAAACTTACCAGGGACCCACAAAATTCAATTTTCTGAAAGCAAGGGACTATTGGATAAAGATATGGCAGTCCCAGCTTTATTTGGTGCATTACACGTGCAAATATTTATGAAGTCATTTTTCTGCACATGTAATATAGAAAGTGAAGTTAATAAAAACTTTTTGTCTCCTAGGAAAACATTAAAATTATATCCTTTAATAGAAGCTCCATAGGTCAAATGTAATTGTTTCTCTATAACAAAGTTCTATAACTTGGCAGGCATTCAGAAATTAAACATTTTTGCCTCTTGAACACAGAACAGATCGCTTTAGTGCAGAATCATCTTAGTAGCATCATGGGCCTCTGGGAAAAATAATGTACTGGGGCTTTACCAGCCTGCTCCAATTTACGCACTTACTCTTAAGATTTTAGGTATAAACAGTTGATAGAATTAAACATATATGTATTAGACCAAGGGTAGGCAACACTAAAGAGGTGGAGATCTACCTGAACAACATGTGAGACATCAAAGATCTCCGACACTGTGTCTCTTCCTCACACCCGATAAAAAACCTTTAATTGCCATAATACCATGGCCCTTAGTTGCATTCGGCAGTGGCACCCTTAGGGCTCATTCACACATAAAGTTGGGTGGGGGTAGTAAAACCCTGCGGTTTAATTGTGTTTTATCAGGCCAAATCCCTACCCCCTTTAACTTCTGAGGCAGCAGCCAAAGGTGTACACATGCTGCAGCAGGAATGAAACCCCCCTGTTGCTTTTGGTGGATGCTATCACCTGCCAATAGCGAACCTGTTCAAGTAAATGGGGCCACTCTGCAACCGCATGCTTCTGTGGGGTCCAAGGAGTTTAAGCAGGTGGTGAGAAAGCAATACAACACTGTCTGTTTTAAAAACACATCTTATCTATGGGGTTGCACCACCCCCCAAACTGCAAATGTAAATGAACCCTTACTGTTCTGAGTTCCCTATAAGGCTGCTTTTTCACACTGCAGTTTACCTGCATCGGGAGTGCAGAGCAGTGCATCTGCGACTTTTCTGGGTTAGCTGCGCTTTGCCATATACTTCTATTATATCCTGCAGGTGTTGTGCACTTTCTCTGAAAGCATACCAAAACTCTTGCATTCAGAAAGTGCACTAAACCCGCAGGATATATTAGAAGTCTATGGCTAAGAGCAGCAAACCCACAAGAAAGCCGCAGGTACACCCGCGGTGTGGGCACATCAGCACATCAGTGGGAAAACAGCCTTATACTATTATGCCCAGTGTATTGCTTCACTCTGACCTGAAGATCTCTTCTTTCCTGCTGTTGGCACCACTCTGGAGACCGCTAGCTGGGATAAGAGGGGTAGTTCAGTTGGTATAACTCCAACTTTACAAGTAGTTCCTCTGCATTGCACTGTTCGATACTCTGGTGTAATGGGTCAGCAAGCCCAGACCGCGATCTACCAGTCACCTGGCCGCGATCTACTGGTAGATTGCGATCTACAAGTTGCTGACCCCCGTATTAGACCTTTCCATAAAGTCAATTTTAAACAATAGGAAAGAAAAGCTGTAAATCAAAGACTAATTAAAACAAATATTCGATCAATATAAAAAGTTTTGAAGAACAAAAATTTTAGCCTATACACAAAATGTTGTTATACTATACAAATAAAGATGGATGGCACCCGTGGCCAATTGAACTTTCTGAAATGTCTGTGTGACATTTCAATAACTTTTGTTAGGGGAGCAGTACAATGCACTGCAATCTACACGGTGCTGATCCTGCACAGCAGGTTGTAAAGCAGAAGCTGGGGTAAATGAACCCTTAGCTGACAAGGCAGCAGCCTGGGGTGTACACATGTTGCAACCGCTTTGCTTCATGACCATGGCAAGAATTATACCCCCAGTTGCATTTAGAAGGCACTACAGCTCACCAAATGCAACCTATTCAAATAAAAGGGTCGAAACTGCAACCTCCCATTGACCGTGTGCAATGCATGTGGTTGTGGTGGGGTAATGCAGCATTTAGAGGGTTAAAACAAGTAGTGAGGAGTTGACATATCACCTCCTCACCACCTGCTAAATGCCTCTGAAACAAAATCTGTGTGTGGATTGCTTTGCAGAGGAGTGGCGGTCTTTTTCAGTCAGATATCTAAAAAAAAAGGTGAAATCTTGTGAGCTGCTATGTTACCACCAATATATAAAAAAAGCTGCCCCAACAGAAACACTCTCATATGTGTTTATACAGTTGTGTTCAAAATAAAAGCAGTGTGTTGAAAAAAGGGAATAAAGCCCAAAATCCTTCTAATAGCTTTTATTTCCATACACACAAATGTATTGGAAACACTACACATTCTATTCCAAATCAAAACATGAAGAAAAATAGATCAAATATGTGTTGTTCCTCTAAAACAATTGAAAAAAATTGAATATTAGACTGTTCAAAAAAAATAGCAGTGTTTGTGTTCTTCTTTACAAACTCAAACATTCACTATATAAACTGAAAAATGTTTGAAGATTTTGCTTTCCTTTGAATCACTTAATTATTATTTCGTTGTATAAGCACTGTTTCTGAGAACTGCTGTACATCTGTGTTGCATGGAGTCAACCAACTTCTGGCACCTGTGAACAGGTATTCCAGCCCAGGGGATGATTGGACTACATTCCACCGTTCTTCTCTATTTCTTGGTTTTGCCTCAGAAACTGCATTTTTTTGTCACCCCACAAGTTTTCTATTGGATTAAGATCCGGTGATTGGGCTGGCCTCTCCATAACGTCAATCTTGTTGGTCTGGAACCAAGATGTTGCACATTTACTGGTGTGTTTGGGGTTGTTGTCTTGTTGGAACACCCATTTCAAGGGCATTTCCTCTTCAGCATAAGGCAGCATGACCTCTTCAAGTATTCTGATGTATTCAAACTGATCCATGATCCCTGGTATGCGATAAATAGGCCCAACATCGTAGTATGAGAAACATCCCCATATCCAGGGGCGGACTGACCATTTGGAAATTCGGGCACTGCCCGAGGGCCCGGGGTCAGTAGGGGGCCACATGAGATGCCCCTGGTACCTTTTTCATAGGCTTTTTTGAGTTTGGGCAAGGACACAGGGGCCCCATGATCCCCTATTGCCCGGGGGCCCCATGAGTTGTCAGTCCGCCCCTGCCCATATCATGATGCTTGCGCAACCATGCTTCACTGTCTTCACAGAGTACTGTGGCTTGAATTCAGTGTTTGGGGGTCATCTGATAAACTGTCTCCAGCCACTAGACCCAAAAAGAACAATCTTACTTTCATCAGTCCACAAAATGTTGCACCATTTCTCTTTAGGCCAGTCAATGTGCTCTTTGGCAAATTGTAACCTCTTCAGCACACGTCTTTTTTTTTAACAGTGGAACTTTGTGGGGGCTTCTTGCAGATAGCTTGGCTTCACATAGGCGTCTTCTAATTGTAACAGTACTCACAGGTAACTTTAGACCTTCTTTGATCTTCCTGGAGCTGATTGTTGGCTGAGTCCTTACCATTTTGGCTATTTTTCTATCCATTCGAATTCGATGGTAGTTTTTCACTTTCTTCCACGTCTTTCAGGTTTTTGGTTGCCATTTTAAAGCATTTGCGATCATTTTAGCTGAGCAGCCTATCATTTTCTGCACTTCTTTATATGTTTTCCCCTCTCCAATCAACTTTTTAATCAAGGTACGCTGTTCTTCTGAACAATGTCTGGAATGACCCATTTTCCTCAGAATTTCAGAGAGAAATGCACTGTAACCAGCATGTACAACATTTGCTGCCTTCCTTCCACAAATAAGTGCAATAATTGCCACCTGTTTTTCAAAGAATGAATGACCTCACTAATAGAACTCCACACTGCTATTATTTTGAACATGCCCCTTTCAATTAGTGATTCAATTACACAGAATCAGCAGCATGCATGTCATGACTGTTGGCTCTGTTGGATTTCTATTACTACTCTATTACACCTGCTAGTAAATTATTTGCCATGTAGAAATATCATTTCTACCAAAAACAGTGATTGATCAGGTTAGTGATGTCTGACTGCTATTATTTTTGAACACAACTGTATATGAAAAAAAAACGTGTGGTGTGAATAATTCATTTACCAAGCAATATATCATAAATTAAGTGTCAATATGTGTTATCACACCTAATAATATAAAAAAAACCACATTATTTAAAAAAAAATTTACATAAAATAAAATAACGTCGAATAAAACTAATAATTGACCAAAAATAAAAAGTATTTTTCCAAGAAAATGTTTTTTTGTGTCAATAATCTTTTTGTCTTTTCTAGCCATCCACTAATATGTGTACAAGTACAAACACTCCTCTATACACTGCAGCATTGACCCCCATCAGATGTACTCTCACCTGATGATTTTTGACCTATGTATATGTGTTAGGTCAAAAAAGACATTTGTCTCCTCTAGTTGAGATCATCATACATTCATATGCACCATCAGTACTCTTTAAACAGGATGCCACTCAAAAAAACAATTTCTCCTTTCTTCTCCACTTGCAGTATACAGGTTACTGTTACTTTAAATCTTCAGACCACCACATGCAGGTACATACACTACATAGTACTTTATCTTTTAAAACACATTTATTCTAAATCCCCTTAAGAAATCCACTGAGATTACATGGGTGCTCCACTGCACCAATATACACTATATAAGCATATACAGCAGTAAAAACTCTCCAGGTAAAAGTGCTTTTCCTTGCTGTACCATGTCACCACAGCTGCACCCCTCTGGATATGACCGGCCCCCCATGAAGCTGGGGCCCCTGGGCAGTGTGCAGGGGTGCCCTTTTTTAGTGTTAGGTAGGAGATGAGGTACAGTAAATTTTCTGTAAAAATTTCTGTAAAAAAAAAGTACACATTTTTGCAGGAGTGATAATCTACATAAAATGTATTCATTTATTGCAGGTACTTATATAGCGCCATCAATTTACGCAGCACTTTACATATATATATTGTACATTTACATCAGTCCCTAACCCACAAAGAGCTTAGAACTTAAGGTCCTTAACTCACATTCATACATACACATATTAGGGCCAGTTTAGACAGGAGCCAATTAACCTGCCAGCATGTCCTTGGGATTGTGGGAGGAAACCCACGCATGCACAGGGAAAACATGCAAACTCCAGGCAGGTGGTGCCATGGTTGGAATTCGCACCAATGACCCTAGTACTGCCAGGCGGAAGTGCTAACCATTTAGCAACTGTATTCTTAATTTTATCCATCCCTGATTACATGTGCCATAGTGATATTGATTGACTCTTACACCAAACAATAAGTATCACATCACTAGGCTGCATGGAAAAGTTCAGTAGGCTGACAATTAAATAAAGGCATACATATTCCCAATAAAAATTCCCTAGAGAAAATGTTATTGAATGAAATTACTGAACAGGAAATTAAAGTAGGTTTGTCGCAAAAAGATTTGTATAGAAGACAAATGGATGACTTCACTCCAAAAAAACACTATTTTATTGTAGTATATCCCAAAAATATTGCATTACTCAAGTAAAAATGAGACTTGAAATGTGTTTGATGCTATAAAGTTCTTAATCATAGCATACACACTGTGCTCTCCATTTAAACATGCAAAATCAATTAACACATTAATTGCCAAGCTAAATATCTCTGGCGGATGTCATGTCTCAATTATAAAAATACTCTAACATAAAAAAAATAAAGGATAAGTTGAACTCTTAATAAAAAAGTAATACATGCACAATTTTTTGCAGGTTAATAAATGTGCAAGCCGTCAGCCTCAAAGGCCATCAGTAGTAGTAGTTCATTAATTCACAGAACTCTGAATGACACAGCCATGTGGGCGGAGCCACATTAATCCTTAGATTGCCCCCTGTCACCCTGCCAGTGCCAATAGTACAGTGTCAATGTACAGTATTTTTCACTGTTCACTGTATTACTGCCACTAGCAATGTCAGATAGCATCAGGGTCAGTTAGCGCCCCTCCCAGCTAGGGTCAGCTAACATTAGATTGCCCAGACACTATCGCACTCATGCTATAGGTCACTGATCACCATCATTACTAGTTTAGTTATTTGTATGGATCAATTTATTGATCACGAACAGAACTATACCAGGCCCCCCTGTTAGCAGGATCAGCCACATTCACTGCTAGCACTTGCGTTTAGCTCCTCTGACCCCTCACCCCTAACAAAAAGTGCAGTGTTAGTTTAACTTCTGATCGCTGTCACCTGTGATTGCACACAAAACTGCAGTGTTTGCAGAATCAGGCCTGATCTCTGCTAGCACTAGCAGGTGAATTTTATTGGTAGAGGTTCAAGCAGTCCCTGAAAGCCAGGTGCTCTTTTTCCCGTGAGTCGCACAAGGTACCTGTAAATTTAGAGTCCAAAATGTCCCAAAAAAGGTGCACTATTGAAGAGGCCTACAGGATTCTGAGCATGTCAGATGAGATCAAAGGGGAAGCCTCTCTGACAGAACCCACCTCAAAATACGAACCTGTAGAAAGCAACAGCACCTCGACATGTAGCTCAGATGATGGAGATCAGGCGTACCCGCCCTTGTGAAGCTGAAATGCTAGGAATGCATTACTTATCTCATATGCAGCAGAGTGCCAGTACTAGTGCAGCTGTACCTTTTGGTGAACTGGCGAGCACCAGTGGCCTAGTACAACCTGGTCTTTTTCATACCAGCACTGCAGTATTACTTGGTGACATGGCGAGTCCCATAAGCGCAGTACAAGCCTGTAGAGCCCATAGTGTCTTTATGGATGTACTTGCAAATCTTGATTGGCAGCCCACAGTTTCTGCAGCACCCATACTTCCCCCATTCACTGTCCAACAAGGAATTCAGGTGGAAACAGCAAATTTAACTACTCCCCTTGATTTTTTGGAGCTGTTTTTCACAGAAGATTTGTATAATTTCATTGTATGCCAAAGCAATTTATATGCACAACAATAAATTGCTGCAACCCAAATTCAGCTCTTACCACACCTTTTGCATGTAACCCTATTATGGTTTCTGAATTTAAAACTTTTTTGGGCCTAACCCTCAACATGAGCATTAGAAAAAAGAATGAGTTGCGGTTGTATTGGTCTATAGACCCAATTCATCATATGGTGATGTTCTCTGCTGCCATGACCAGATGTAGATATGAGATGACAACACACTCTGTCTTCCTCGGGATGAACCTGAACATGACTGAATCTACAAAATGTGGCCCCTCATAAACCACCTCACTGTGAAATTTGCAGATGTGTATGCGCCCCAGCACTTTACTGGCCACCTTGCATTCAAACAGCACCTCCCCAGCAAGCGTGCCAGATATGGGGTCAAATAGTATAAGCTCTGTGAGAGGGCAACAGGCTATACATACAATTTTTGGGTTTATGAGGGAAGAGAGAGTGAAGTAGAGGCCCCCCAACTGTTCAGACTAAATGGGGAGCAGTGGCAAGATAGTATGGGACTTGGTGTCATCTTTGTTCTGCAAGGGGTACCACTTATATGTATATAATTTCTATACAAGCATGCCACTATTTAGACATTTGTACAATCTTGGAATTGGGTCATGTGATACCGTGCGACCTAATCACCAGGGCTTCCCCCAATGGTTTGTAAACATCGGACTTAGAAAGGGGGAGAAAGCCTGCTTGAGAAATGATGAATTGCTTGCAGTGAAGTGGAAGGACAAATGGGATGTTTTCATCCTGTCTTCTGTTCACTCAGACAAGATAACCCAAATTAGCACGACATTTGGCGTTGTTGAGAAACCCTCTGTGTCCATGACTACAACTTTAACATGGGAGGGGTGGACTTCAATGACCAAATGATGAATCTGTACCTAGTTTCCCACAAAGTTCAACATTGGTACAAAAAGGTGTCTATTTATTTCAATTGGCTATATAATGCTTTTGTAAATTACAAAGCAGCTGGACGAGGTGGATCCTTCCTAAAATATTAGGAAGAGATCATCACTTTGTATCCAGAAGGTGCTGTAACCCAATTCCCAAATCCAGATGCAGTGAGCCAGCTGCATGAGAGGCTTTTTACAGATGTCCTCTCTGGTACCCCAACCCAAAGGTCACCCCAAAGAAGATGTCTTGTCTGTAGCAGACACAGAATAAGACGTGACACCCACTTTTTTTCCCTCCTGTCCTGGCAAACCTGGTTTCTACCTCAAGGATGTCTTCCGTGGCTACCACACACTAGTGGAGTATTAGTA